TGTTAAACAACAAAAATAAAATGATCACACTTGGGCTTTTGTAACATCACTCTGCAGCAGTTTGCAGGGTGGATTGGAAGGGAACAGGACCCGAGACAGGGATGCCAGTTCGGAGGCAGTTACAGTAAACCAGGCAGAGACTGAAGAGCAGCTTGACTAGGACAGTGGGGATGAAGTGTTTGGGACATAGATTATTGAGAGAAAATATACAGAGAGAATTGGAGGGCTTGGTAAAGAGATGTAGGTTGGAGGGTGGGGAAAGCCCAAACTTTTCTTGTTTCTGGCCTGGAGAACTGGGTGAAAAGAGTGCTGTTCACCAAGGACATAGGGACAGGTTTGGGAGACTGCTTGGGGTTTGTTGATCCAGGAGATGCTCAGCAGTCAGATGCACATCTGGGTCTGGAGCTCAGGAGAGATTGCTGAGAATCACCAGCACACATGTGTAATTAAAACAGTGGAGTTGAATGAAAGGCAGCATTCAAAGTGGGAAGAGAGAATTGAAGAAAAAACTCAGGGAAATGTCATTAGGTAAGGGGAAGGTGAGAAGGGGAAATCTGAGACGGAGGTGGGGTGGGAACACTCTAGGAAAGAGAGGTGCTGCCCAGACCAAGGAAGGAGAGGTGAAGGGCTACAGAGAGGGCCTGCGAGAGCCCCAGTGGAGTCAGGCAGAGCCCACATTGCCAGCAAAGTGAGCTCCAGGAAGTCTGCAGAGAAATAGAATCAGAATTAGACTTTAAAAAATAAATATCAGACAGAGTGCTACTGGCATATTTCTCAATTTAGGAATGGAGATGTATATTCCAGACACTTTGGTGCTCTGGGAAAATAAAATCCTGTTTAGTTGCTAGTACTGTAGACAGTGGTATGTAAGAGTAGGATGTTATTGCAGTGAGCTATCAACATAAGGGTCTGAAGTGCTTTAAATATCAGTGTGTGTATATGTGTGTGAGAGGGGTAGACTCTGAGGCATTATGGTCTTAAATTTATTTGTGCAAAATTGGGAAAGAGCATGGGCTTTGGAGTTCAGTAAGCCTGAGTTCAAATCTCAGCCCTTCACTGATTAGCTCTGTGGACACTTGGACACATTAAAAAATTTTTTCTCTTTATTGCTTTTAGAAAAAGAGGGAGAGGGAGAGAGAGATAGAAACATCAATGAGAGAGAACATTGGCCACCTCCTGCATGCCGCCCACTGGGGTTTGGGCCCACAACCTAGGCATGTGCCCTGACTGGGAATCAAACCGGTGACCTGGTGCATGGGTTGACGCTCAATCACTGAGCCACACCGGCTGGGCCTTGGACAAACTTTTTAATAAAACCTTTTTGAGTCTTATTTTATTTTAGTAAAGGAAGAGGAGTGTCTTTTGATAATTAGTTAACACATGAAACATGTTGGGGGTACTCAGCATACCCTCCCAAATCTCCAAGTCACTGAATGATGTGCATGAGTTTTTTCCTGAGAACCTTACTTTTGTTTAGATATAACATAGCAACTCCCCAAAAAATTGGCTTATGGAAAGAGATCTGTGGCAATAAAATGGATTACAGTAATGATAACCCTTAAATATGAGGTAGAGTGGGATTCTATCATCACACACCATACATGGGTCAAATACTACCCATCAACATTTGAAACATGATGAAAGGCTGGTTGCACTCACATGATTAGTCTAAAATTTAGATCTTAGTGTTGTTATGGGGACCATAGATTTCTCTGTGTCCTAATGTTTTTATCAAAATAGTTAAAAAATAATTCACAATTAAAGTATAATTGGGCATCATATATTTGTTTAGGGTGAAGAAGAAATTAAGTTTTCCAAGGAAAAAGAGGAAGGAAGTAATAAAGAGTAAAAGTAAAAAAGAGAATAAAACTATGTACCAGCAAGATGTTCTATACCCTGAACATTATATTCAGTTTTGCAGGCCTGCTAATGAGAGTCAAACTGTAATGTATTTGGTGGTGAAAATATGGATTAGTAATGAAGTAAGGGATTGGTACATAGAAAGACGGACAAGTTTAGAAATTATAAAGTAGTTTCATTGGAAGCCAATAATTGGGAAGTAACAACTGGCAGCCCATGTGTACAGTCTGGCCTGCAGATTTATTTTGTTTGGTACACATTGTGATTTTTTTGAACATGTGGTTCTGTTGCCAACATTGAGATATCAGGAGATTTTACATTTAAAAATGTTTTGTGGACTTCTGTTGGAAAACCTGAGGGAGGGTCTGGGAGAATCATGCTCTGTGGCAACACTGACCTGCAACCCAGGTGAGGCCTTTCCTCCATTTCCCTGCTGTCCTGGGCTGCTCCTGACAGGCATGCTGCCCTCTTCCTTCACTTGCTCTGGCTTCTGAACTCCTGGCAGAGAATGAAGTGATGTGTACATGAGGGTAGAACAATGAGTGAACTTTTAATGAACTGTTTTCTAGTGATAAGGGCTGGGACATGGTGACACAAAAATGTCAACACTAGGGATCCTATCTTTTTATGGAGGGATCTTTCAAAATTGTTTATATTTACATACAAATACTGTTTGCTCGTATTTTTTCCTCTGTCGATAATCTTTTTTATTGCTAATGTCATTTTCCCATTTTACAGATAGACTGTAAAGTACATCAATTAGGTGCCTTTGTTGTCTATGTCCAATGGTTATGCATATATGCATATAAGTTCTTTGGTTTACTGCCCCCCCCGCCCCCCCGAGGTTTGTCAGTCTGAACCCTGCTTCTATGTCTCTGGGTCTGTTTTGTTCATCCACTTATTTTGTTCATTATATTCCACAAATATGTGGTCTTAACACATGATGCATTTCCACTGACCACTCAAGACTACCTCTACTTCTTACATGGTTCTGGTGATAAGAATGTATTTAAACTTTATCCTTTCTTTTATAAAATCACAGTAGTGTGCCAATCTCTACTAAATTGTTTCAGTTTGAAGGTAAGTGTTGTATGTGATTTAAAGTAATTGTCCAGATGTGTTTAGATTAATTTTAAATGTGCTTAGTAAGTGCAAAGTGCTACAATCGATTTTGTGATTTCTAGTAAAAATTTCATTTTCTAAGAGCTCTCTCAAATTTAGAAAATGATGTAGTTCTAACAGTTCTTCGTTGTTATAGATTTTCATAAAGTTAATGAATAAAATTATACTTCATTATTAAAGAAATGAGTGTTTTGCTTATTTCTAAAATAATGTAAAATTCCTTGTTTTGTTTTATAATAACATGATACCCTGTGGTTACATTAATGCTTTAGTTAACTAGCACAATTGGAATTGACCCAGGTGCTAGATTAGCCAAAATTTGCAAACAATGTGGACTTTGCCAGAATATGGCTCACTAACTCTCCCTCTGGGAGATAGTAGGGCTGAGTCTGAATTTCTCTGTGTCAGAAGCACTTATTTCTAGTTGGTTTTCATTTATGTACATTTATGAATACATCTATTTGTCAGCAGAAGTCTTAAATCTAATAACCTTGCTTCCCATTTCCTTCCAAAGTCAAGTTGTCTCTGATCATTTTAACTACCCATAATGTGCACCTGATTAGGCCTAATATATAAGTCATTCAGAAGGGAAATCATGCAGAAAAAAAGAAAGCCTTAGAAGTACTTGGTAAATAGTAGCTACCTTGTAGTTAACCCTACCCAACCTAAACATGTCTACCCTGGTACCCTGTTCCCATCTCCTGTGTTCCCCTCCTACATGCACTGCCTCATGACCTTTGATTAACCTTAGTCAAGCCTTTCCAGAGTAACTTCTGAAACTCTTTTTTAAATCTCAAGGCTTTACTTCTGCATTGCTTGTCCTTAGTGGGAACACTTCTAGGCTACAACTTTAGTGCTGCTGGCCTTCAGATACCACTTAGATCTGTTACTAAGGTGTCAAATATAAACATATTCTCTCCCTAGCCTGAACTCTCACATTTTTATTTTTGCCAGAAGAAAGATGAGTTAATTATTACAGGCATTGTTTTCAAACCACCCACTAAAGATTCTGTTGGGCATCAGTCAGGCTTATCCTTAGCCAAACAGCCACTAGGAAGTTGGCCACAAGAAGGTAGTTACAGTGTTGAAAAAGGATATAAAAGATGTATGTGGTCTGAGACAAATAGGGCCAAAGTGAACTTTGTAAAAACATTCTTTGAAGGAGTGAATGGCACTGATTATTTACTGCTTCACCTATTTTACGGGTCATTTTACCTTTAGTGAAGTACATAAATGAAAAACATAGGAAGAAAATCCAATAAGGAACCTAATCTCTTAATGACAAAAAATAAGCAGTATTCCAACCCAAATATGAAACTGCTAAAAAAATCTCAATGTAGAAATAAACATAAAAGTAATGTTTTCCACCTGTACATAATAAGCATCCCATGATTTATTCTCAGTCTATCAAATTCATAGATAGGCTATTTTATAATTTGGATTAGCTGGACAGGAATCAGATAAAGTTCTCCTCAGTTTGGTTTTCCCTTTGCTGTAAATAACTAAGAACAAATCATTTAAACTGCTTATGTCCCTGTATCTTTTTCCTGGAATGTAAGTAATTATACTTACCTCTTTTGAGTAAGTGAATTGTACTTCTGAAATTATTTTAAATTCTTGTTTTGGAAAATGAACATAATATATAGATATGATTATGCTATAATGTGACAGTGGATAGAAAGCCTTTTAACTTCTTTAAAGTTTAAAAGCATTCTTTTAAGACAGCCCTGATAGCATATTTAATTTTGTTTCATTTTAACCTTTTTATAGGTACTGATAGACTTTGGGGAAATCTAGTTTTTAAAAATGAAATAGAGCAACAGGCACAAAATCCTTGGTAATATAGTAACTTGATATGAAGCATGGGTTATGCAGCATTTATTTCTTTGACTTCAATATTTGAATTCTTACCCATGTGTTCTTTGAGATGGGTGGTTTGTTATTTATGACAGTAATATAAATCTCTATTTTCAAAAAAAGAAAATCTAACTCTTCCATAATTATCAATTTTGCCATAGAATTACATAGTTTCAGAAAACGAAGAGCCAGAAGACAAAGAAGAGGAAATTAAGGAACATCTGGAAGATGAGAAGAAAGCTGTGGGAGACGATGAAAATGTCCCTGCAGATGACCACAGTAAAACTAGCGACGACTCCGTTGGAAAGGTATTGACAACCATTGAAAAAGTATGATGATATGTGTTTAAATCCTGAGATCCTGCCTAAGAGAAAGCATATGGGTTCCTTGGTCTCTGCAGAGGGCAGATTCCAACTTCCTTTGGGAGCAAAAAATATTTCTATGAATAACTGTTCGTACAAAATCATCAATGAGGCACACTTTGTTTCTAGCTCTCTTTCCATACTTCTTCGTAACATTGTGTTTCCTGCATAAGTGGAAATCATCTGATATGGGCCAGTATAGTACATTATATTGCTGAGAAATTAACAATGAAGTTCATCACTGGGTCTTAGAAATAATGAAAATACGAAGTTAGGAACACTATACTGGTGGCCCAAATGGGATGTGTGTGTGCCTGCATACATGTACATTTACCTTTATAGGGACAAACTAAAGTTGTTCACAGCACTATTTGAGGTTGTGATCAGTTCTGCAGAGATGCAGTCTAGAAGGAATTATTTATGGGAGTAAGAGGAAGAGGTATCACTGAGGAAGAAAAAGCCATCCTAAAGGTGAAGCCAGGGATGTCAAAAATACCTCTTACATTTAGCAGTTTTGCCTAATAGTGACCCTGCTAGGAGACGGTAGGTTTGCAATCATTCATTTCAAATAACCTGGAGTAATTTCATAGGTATGGAATTTAGAAACCCAAACTAAATGACACTGTATTGATTTATTTTTGTTTTCATTGTTTGGACCTCTTGTACAAAACACTGAGTTAGTCATACCTTCTCATTAATGAAACCCTATTATCATTGGTCTGGGTAAGTCGTCTCTCTCTCTATTGAAATTGATCCCCTTTTAGCCCCACTACTCTTCACCTTAACATAGACAACCACTGAAACATGCTTGTCCTTTTATTTGAATGCGTACTTGTAAAACGTGTATTGTTTGTTGTTTTGTGTGCATGTATTTTTAATATACAAGATAGTATTGTGTTATAGATAGCATTTTCTTTCTTGATTCCTTTTTCTTCCAAGACTTCATGTCAGAGAGAAAAAAATGTTCTATTAATTTCTTTTTTTTTTCCAGGGGGAGTTAAGGATTCTCTTTACAAGGAACATTTATGAGTTACAGTTAGGGTAGTCCCTAAAATTCTTTATCATAGAATTCATTAAACTCCAATTTGACATTGTAAGATGCTACTAAATCATATGCTGATTAATATTCCTGAATATTATTTTAGTAGATTTCTTGAATCATACAATTTTAAGCTAGGAGTGACCTTAGCAATCACTCAGCATCTAAGGCAAGAGTCCAGCAAAGTGAAGTAATTGTCTGCCTCTACTATTAACATAAACATGTTAATGTTACCCTGCTTAAAAAGCAAGACTAGATTTTCTAGCACAGCACAAATATGTTTTATATTCTATTGTTTCTAGGACAGAAAAACGAACCAAGAGGAACCGGCCATTTCTGAATACAATGAAAATCCAAAAGGTATGATTTGACTTCAAAAGTATATTTTTAGAAAGCCTAGATATATAACATACATGCATGTGTGCGTGTGTGTGTGTGTGTGTGTGTGTGTGTGTGTGTACATATACATATATGTGCCTTCATTAAGTAATTATAGTTTGCACACATTTATTTTATACTTTTTACTTTATACTTAACATAGACAACCCTCACATGACCGTCACAACAAGCTCTGAAATATGTGAAATGAGCTTATTTTCATTGATAACCACCACAGCTTCTTCACATAAAAATATTCACATTACTCCTAGCTGTTTATATGTCTGTGTCCAGTAGTTTAGGATAGCCTTTTTACTACCTTTTTAAATTTTTTAATCAGTAGTATTAAGTTGAGTTTTTGCCCAAAATTTCTATTTGTATCTCTGGTAAGCACTGCTAGACCCCATTACCAATGACCAGGCCTGCCTAGAGCCACAGCAAGCAATCTAGTTATTTCCTCCAGAACTCGAACCTGAGGCTTTGATCTAACCACAGACATTTAAAAGGAATTCTTTCCCAGGCCTAGATGTTGGTGTCAGAAAACAAGTGCCACAGAATATAGGAGACCTACATTTTCTACACCCAAATCATGTGTATTTTTGCTGTACGATCCCTATGTATATTTCCACACCATCACATCACAGTGTACTTTTTACTGTGTTCTCATTAAAAATACTTGTCATAATAGTAGATATTTTATCTGAACTTAAGCAGAGAAGGAATAGTTCCCTTAATACTTTTTTCCCTTCTAAGTTCTGTGGAAAGACTAGTAAGTTTTATAATATTTTAAGAAAAGTGTTAAAATATATATCATCTCTAAGTATTCTTAGCATATAGCCTAAAATGTTAAAAAGAAGTTAAATGTAATATTTAAGTAGTTGATATACATATAAAGGAAAAGAATGAATATGCTTCATGAGTATACTTTAAAGATCATTATTTAACTATATAACTTGTGGATTAATTTGGAACACAAAAATAATACGTCCATTTGAGTAAAAAGAACTCATTATAACTAGCTTAATTTTAAAAAGAAAATTTGTATTTTACAGTAGTCTTTCCTAACAGTTACTGTTACCTTTGTAGCTATATTTGGGTAATGGCCTAAACTTTCACAGCATTGGTCAGGTCATTCAGGGCTTTTTGCCTTAACTCAACTGTTTTTTGTTGTTGTTAATCCTCACCAAAGGACATTTTTCCTTTTTTTTGAGAGAGAGAGAACAATGTGAGAGAGACAGATTGATTGCTTGCCTCCCACACCTGCCTTGATTGTGGCTGGTGATCAAACCTGCAACCCAGGTATGTGCCCTTGTTGGGAATCGAACCTGCGACCCTTCAGTGCATGGGCCAATACTGTAACAACTGAGGCATGCCAGCCGGGGCTTAACTCAGCTTTTCAGGAAACATGCATTGTAGACCTTTTCATTATTCCAGTGGTACAGTCTTTTATTATTACTTCATAATGCAGGGTTGATGGTGTTTCACTGAAAGCATCAGGATTTTGCCTTTTCTCATAAGTTAGGAAAATTTGTTCTAAATATGTTCTACTGTAGGAAACATATGTGAGCTTGCAAAGAGCAGTTCTTCAGAAATCCTGGGAGATAGTGAATCCACACCAGGTAAAGACATGAAAGTATCAAAGAAGGTAAGTGTAATGAACTTCCAGTTTTCATATTAAGACCAAAGTATTGAATTGCTTCTTCTACTTTGTATATGGTGATCCACACAGCTTGATTCCCTTAATATGAGTTTTTATGCCCAGAATTATGAAGGACTTCAGGTGATATTTCACTTTTTTTTTATCCTCACCCGAGGATATTTTTGCATTTATCTTCAGATAGAGTGGGAGGGAGAGTGGGAGGAAGAGAGAGAGAGAAACATCAATGTAAGAGAGACACATCGACTGGTTGCCACCTATACGACCCCAACCGGGGCCGGGGACAAACTGCAACCAAGGTATATGCCCTTAGCGGGAACCAAACCCAGATCTCTCTGGTCCGCGGGCCAACGCTCTAACCGCTGAGCCAAACCGGCCAGGGCATGTTTCACATTTTTTTTTTTTTTTTTTAATCCTCACCCGAGGACATTTTTCCATTTTTTGTACAGACAGAGTGGGAGGGAGAGAGAGGGAGAGAGAGAGAGAGAAACATCGATGCGAAGGGACACATCGAGTGGCTGCCACCCGCACGACCAACCAGGGCCGGGGACAAACTGCAACCGAGGTACGTGCCCTTAGCGGGAACCGAACCCGGGTCTCTCTGTACCGCAGGCCAACGCTCCAACCGCTGAGCCAAACCGGCCAGGGCATGTTTCACATTTTTAATGTGCATATTTTGTTTATTGGACTTCAGATTATGAGTCAGGTGGTTCTGCTAAAATGTAATAGCGTATTTCCTTCAATCATCCCATCCATGCTGATTCATCATACAATAAAATATTCATAAGTGAACTTTATTGCTTAAATTATAGGAGTATAATAATCACGAGAGTTTAGAAGAGAGTAAGACAGAGCCAAGAAATAGAGAGGATGAATGAAAAAGTAAAGATGGTTGTATATAGAAAACATTACGACATGCTACTTCAGTCTCTGAGGAGATGAATAATACTTGTTTTGGAGCTGTTGAAAGACTGAAGAATATGTTTCTTCTTGAAAGTAAATTGCTCTTTTCACTTTCAGAATTTTCTTTAGTCATGAGACCACATTTCAAGGTAGAAGAGGAAACATGGAAGAAAATAAAAATGAAAAGCCTTGTTAGTTCCTATTTAACCTTCAGGTCTCAACTTAAATGTTATTTCCATATACAGGCCTTTTGTGACTAGCAGCACTTACATAAATTATTATATCCCATTATCATTCTCTCATTAACACTTTTCTTATCCTTCTTAATATTTATCACAACTTTCGATTACATATTCATTCGTATATCTATTAGCTTTATGTCTCTATCTCCCCACTGGCCTCTAGCTCCACAGGGACAGAAACAATAATCTGTCTTGTTTACCAGTGTATCCTCAGCATTTATCACAGTTTCTGGTACATGGCAGATACTCAGTAAATATTTTTGGTTGACAATGAATTGTAAAATGTGAGGGAATAAGAAACGGGAAAGGGTGAAGGTATAAAACCAGGAGCTGCGCTTAGAGTAGTAAACAGCCTGTCTTTTGCCATCTTTGGAGTATATGCCCCCCTGAAATTCCTTTTAGAGTTACTTTAGAAATTTCATTTGGCCCTGATCCCCATATTGTTATCTTATACTAAAAATTAATTTATGACAATTTTTATCTTTATTAAAATTATCTTATAAATTTGGATTATTATACCCAAAAGATCATTGTGACCTGGCTCAAAAGACACTTTGGAATTATCTTTAGAATTATAATCAATGTATCATCAGAACATTTATACAAGGTTTAGGAACTTTTTCTAAACCTTTTTAGTAGACCAGAACATTTAACAGATACTGTGCTATGCTTTATAGCATTCCTATGAATACTTTTTCCAGTTGTAAGAGCTCAGGGAAAGAATCTGGAAAAGAAAATCAAATATGAGGGAGGAAGATGAAAAGTGAAAGAATCAGGAGACACAAAAACCTAAGGAGAGGAAAAATGAAGTGAAGCAGCAAAAAAATAAAATAATAATAATATTGGAAAACACACCTCTGACCAAATGAAAATGTGAATTCTAGAATGCGTGGTCAAGTTTCAGGAAGTTTTTAGGTTCTCTAGGCTTCAGCATTGTCTGTAGATGGTGTAATTTAGATACACAGTGCAGGAGAGAGTGCTGAGCCAGGGGAAGGAATGCTGTGCAAGAGGCAGAATAGCACGCACCTGTAGGAGCAGGCCTAGGAGGGCACCCGAGTACCAGTGCCTGTGGATGGGACAAAGGTAAGGTTAGGCCAGAACAAGGGCCAGGCTGAAGAATTCAGTCTTCAACTTTGATTCTGCTTAAAATCTCATTTATACCTAGTAAAAAAATATATTTCTTTAAAAAATTTTTTTTTCCTTTATTGATCTTTAGAGAGAGAGAGGAAGGGAGAGGGAGAGAGAGATAGAAACATCGATGACAGAGGACATCGATTGGCCGCTTCCAGCATGCCCTGACTGGGGATTTGGCCCACAACATGGGCATGTGCCCTGACCGGGAATCGAACCGGCCACCTCTTGGTGAATGCGTCGATGCTCAACCACTGAGCCACACCGGCTGGGTGAAAAATATATTTCAATAAATACAGTTCCCTTGGTTAAATGAAAGAAACAGAAAGTAATGAAAATTATATTTTAAAAATCAAGCAGTAATAAGTATATTCCCTACATAAGGAATATGTTGTTATTCTACCTATTTTAAAAAGGAAATATATATTTGAATGAGATTTTTTTCAATCATTCTCACGTGACATTTTTATCTATGGTATCTCTAACCTATTTACATGATCTAAGCCAAAAAAATCAAACTTTTTAAAACTTGGAAAAATGGTTCATTAACACATACCAAAATAAGCATGTGTTTGAGATTTTGCGTCCCCCCCTCCTTAATTAAACATACAGTTTAAGGATAATCTAAAACAAACAAATAAACAAAAGAATGAAAAAGAAAGAATTGCTCTCATGGTGTCTATAAGACAGAATTCACCACTGAATTTAGTTTTGATGATTTTAAATGTTTCAGATAGCCAGGTTAGGACCTATGATTTTAATTGGCAGCGAGATCTTTTGGTAGGTGATTGTTATATGTAGACATTACCAAATATTGCTTTTCTAAACTATAGTCAGTGTTGATTATTTGGATCCACGGTTAGCCACTGAGAAAACTGTGTTATCAGCTTGATTTCCTTCCACCCAAGTAAACAAATTAAAAAAAGCAGTAAGCCTTTCAGCTATTAAAAGTAGTTTCTTTTCATTGTGGAAGTAGTTCATTCGTGTATTTACTTAGCATATATTAATTGGGTATCTCTTATGTCCCAGGCACAAAACTAGAGGCTGCAGATACAGAGGTTAAAGATCCAGTGCCACTTTGAAGTCAATAGATTTCTTATTCATTGTCATTCTCATAAATAAAAGAGTCTGAGATGAGAATGTCTCTATCAAAAGTATGCCTGTGGATTCTTGCCTTCCTGGCAACTACCTTTTCTCTGCCATGTTCCAGCTAGTTTCTCAAGAAGGAATCATGATTGTCATTGGTAAAAGAAAAAAGAGTTATAGATGCTAATAATGTACATATGGTGCCCCATAAATTGTGATGAAATAATGTTAAGACTTGTTGAAAATTATACCCCCCAAATACTATTAAGTGAATATTTCACTTACTGAAATGAATTTTTTGTGTTTTTTCTAGACTTACCTTTTTAAAAGACTGTCATTGATGAGTATGAAAAGTATGCCGAATAATAATGAGCCACTTCCAGAAATAAAATCAGTAGGAGATCAAATAGCTTTAAAAAGCAATAAGAAGGATTTCAAACAGAACCACACTGAGCAAAGTAATCAGGATACGTCACCCCCAAACACTGAGAAAACATCAAAATCCTGTGTAATACTTTAAATATATATTTATGTGGTCACCGAGCACATTGTAATTTATACTTGAAAAACATGACTTCTTAAGGAATGTTTCTGATAACAAACTTGAAGATATAAGTTAATAATGTTTTATTTGTTTTGAATAGTTTGACCAGTTTTGATATTTATTTATGCTAATATTTTTGACATGCGATTTCAAAATATGTATATCTCAAACTCTAAGTGTTGTGGCCTTAACTGTTCAGTGTTCCATAAAAAAAATATATTTTTGTATGTGAAGGTTGAATTAAGATATTTCACAGTTTTTGCTAAACAGTTTTACATCTTATAATTTCATAAGGCAATATATACAACCTCAAGACACTGTAACAGTTTTTAATGTATTTGCAATTTTTAAAAACTGAGTCAAAATTGTTTTTAATGAGCATATTTTAATAAACTATGGTCGGTTCCATGTTTAAATGGGTGACTATGAATAAAGTTTGGGGGTACTTGGAGTTATCAGTTGACAAAATATTGAAAGCCATAAAATGCTTTTACAAGTAAAGGAAATTTCAGTGTAACTGTGTAAACAGTACATCTTTATAGAGAAACTGTGTTGAAATTTCTTTGCCTCCCACTCCTTTCTTCAGGGAGGTGATTTGGCATGAAGACGTTGCAGATTATGTGGTGTGATCTGGAGTGTTTGACCACAGATTGCCACCACAGGAGAACCAAACATAGCCAGTGTTGCTATTTCAACTGTATCTAGCATTGACATTGGTAACCAAGATTGACTTTAACACACAGTGCTCTGTCACAGGAATAGAAAGGGTAAAGCTGTTAAGTCTACACTGATAGAGACATTGCTTTCCTATGCTCACAGATGATGCTTATTTAATGGAGCAAACTACCTTCATTTTTCCCATTTTAGCTTCCGAACATTTTCATCTTCAATCACAGTGATCACTGTCCCAGTTAAATGAAGAAAAACAAACAGCATCATTTTGCTTTATGCACAAGGGTTGTGAGGATGTTAGTTTAGAGTAGATGTGATTTTGAAATATTAACAAAGGAGACTTCTATGTAAATATTACATTTAATGGAATTCTAATTTTATTAAAGGTAAATTTAATAAAATGTTCTGCTATTGCCACTTAAAGTAATAGTAAAGTACAAAAATACTTTGCCAAAATATAAATTATAGGAGCCAAGTGGAAATAAAACTCACCAATAGGACTAAGACATGCCAGTTGTGGTAGTCAGAATTCTAGGATGGCCCCCAAGGTTCCTGTCTGCTGGTATACTTGCTTTGAATAATCCTTTCCCCTTCATTGTGGGTGAGACCAGTGAATATGATGAGATATCACTTTATTGCTTAGGTTACATTATATGGAAGAGGTGAAAGGTTTTGCAAATATAATTAAAATTCTTACTCTGTTAACTTTAAGCAAAACGGAAATACCCCTGGGTAGGCCTGACCAGATCAGTTGAGCGCTTTCAAAGAGGCTCTAGAAAACAGATGGAAGAAGTTAGAGAAGTAGAGATGCTTTCCTGTTGGCCTTGAAGAAGTAAACTGCCACATTATGGAGAGTGCCATGTGCCAGGGAATGGTGGGAAGCCTCTAGGATCTGAGGGCCTCTATCCTATAACAGCAAAGCACTGAATTCTGCCAACAACCACTGAGCCTGGAAGAGGGAACCCAGTCCTCAGATGAGACCACAGCACTGGCTGATACCTTGACTGAAGTCTTGTGAGGCCCTGAAAAGAGGACCCAGTTAAGCATTGCCCAGATTTCTGACTCATAAAGACTGCGAGGTAATAAATATATGCAATTTTAATCCACTATGTTTATGGTAATTGTCATGCAGCAATAGAAATTAATACCAATCTTATTCTGGGGAAGGGCATCTCTATATGGTGGCTTCCTTCATCAAAGCCCACAAGGGAGAGAATCAATAGAGTCTGATAGCAAGGCAAATGTCACAGTCTTGGGTAACATAATCATGGAAATGACATCCTATCACTTGTGACATACTCTGTTGGTTAGAAGCAAGTCACAAGCCCCTCTCATACTCAAGATGAGGACATGACATAAGGATGTGAAGACCAGGAGGCAAGGATCATGAGGGCCACCTTAGAGCCTACCTGCCATAGCAGTCATTTGGCTGCTCATTGAAAAGGAGAAAGGTAAGGATTAGAGACCAAAGAAAGTGTTAAGTCAAAGCACTTGGAAGAGGTGAACATGAGACAAGCATTATCAAACTGACAAAGTGTTCCTGTTTTATCTGTAGTGTCAGAACAACTCAGACTTTTTAATAAGGTGGTTTGTTGAGGCTCATCAACACTAAGCGTCTTTTTTTTTTTTTTCTATAGAGAGAGGAAGGGAGAGAGAAATAGAAACTTGATGTGAGAGAGAGACATCCATCAGGGCTGCCTCCTGCATGCCCCCTACTGGTGATGGAGCCTGTAACCCAGGCATGTGCCCTGACTGGGAATGGAACCGGAACCTCAGTCCATGGGACGACACTCTATCCACTGAGACACACAGACTGGGCTAAGAGTCATTTTTCATGGTACGCATAAATACCTTTAGAAAAACATAACAGTCATTGGCCCTTGGACTGACTGCTTGAATTATATTTATTTTCCAAATTTGGTTTTATATTTGGCTTTTACATTGAAATACTTAATGAGCATTTCCTACGTGCCAGGTACTATGCCAGAAACGAAGAAAATAAAAGTCACAGTTATGTGGGAGTGAAATGAAGAAAAGGCATTATCATTTGGAGATATTGTAATTTAGAAACCTAAATTTCCTAATTGGATGGAAAGGAGATTAATGAACACTAAACTTGAAACACAATAAACTAAGCTTTATTTTAGAAGTCATAAAAAAGATTGTTAATAGAATTAAATGATCAATTTATACTAGTTTCAAAAGTGAAAGGAGTTATATTACTAATAACCTTATAGCTTTAATAAAAAGTGAAATAATTTAATCCTTAAACTATTCCCCTTTATTATCTTTGCCATTAATTCCTCTTTCCTCTCTGTGATACTGTTGCTTTGGATGTTTTTTACTGACCTTTTTGGGACCTGAAAATAGAATCTCTTGACTTGAACATTAGGGGGTCATTGACATTGTTCAGATTATTATGGATCAAATATAAATAGATATTAATTTACAGAATGCCAGTAGTGATAGGATTTTAAGTATTATGAAAGAGCATGCAATTCCATGTCAGAAAATTAAAGATAAAGAAAATATTGGTACTCACTAAGACCCTCCTTTGAAGAAGAAACTATACAATTCTGAAAAGGTGCTTATTATTAGTTTCCTAGGGCTTCTGTAACAGAAGACCATAAACTGGAAGGCTTAAAAACAATAGAGATTTATTGTCTCACAGTTTGGGAGGTCAGAAGTCAAAAATAAAGATGTTGGCAGGGCCATACTCCCTCTGAAGGCACTAGGAACGTTCCATGCCTCTCTCCAAACTTCTGGTAGCCTCAGGCATTCCTTAGTTTGTCGATACATGATATCACTCCAGCCTGTCCTCACATGGCATTCTCCTTATGTTTCTTCACATTATCTTCCTTCTGTGCATGTCTGTCTCTGTTTTCAATTTTTTTAATAAGGACACCAGTCATATTGGATTAGAACCCACCCTGATGATCGCATTTTAACTTAATTACCTCCTTAAAAACCCTATTTCCAAATGATATGACATTCTGAAATACTAGGGGTTATGACTTCATATCTTTTAGAGAAAACAATTCAACCCACAACAGTGGTTTATTTAGTAAGAATGTAAGAGACTAGAGTCTAAAATGTGAGATTTTGTGTATGTGATCTGTAGCTCTCAAACTGAATCATTTTCTAGCACTTAAGTGGAGAGTGAAGAATGGGATGTGATAATTCCATGTATGTGTTCTTTGAGTATCTTGTGATGCCTATTCCACTGACCACATTCAGTTAATCATATGTGCTAGTACATATGGTGTACATGTTATGATATGGATAATTTATATACTGTAAAATATATTTTGTAAGATGCAACTCATTATTTTTATATGCTATTAAAGATTTCTCTTTATTTGGATAAAAATATTATTATGACTCAGCCACACTAGGTTACAAAGAGGAGATGGTTCTATTATAAACTTTCTTAACCAGTTTTGTCTTGCATAATCATGGCTCCCCAGGCCTACTACCAAGGTACTGAATGTTTTAAAGTAAAAAAATACTGCCCTGGCTGGTTTGGCTCAGTGGATAGAGCATTGGCCCGCAGACCGGAGACTTGGGTTCGATTCCAATCAAAGACATGTACCTCGATTGAGGGTCGGTCTCTGGCCCTGGTCGGACTCAGGTAGGAGGCAACCAGTCAATGTGTCTCTCTCACATTGATGTCTCTCTCTCTCTCTCTCTCTCTCTCTCTCTCTCTCTCTCTCTCTCTCTCCCACACACACACACACCCTCTATCTGAAGAGAAATGGAAAAATATCCTCAGATGAGCTTTAAAAAAAAAGTAAAAAATACAATCAGCCAAATTAGCTATACTAAATATAAACTCTGATTTGGTAACAGCCTCTAGAACACACACACACATACATATGCAAATGCATGCACATGTGCACACATTGTAGTGAAAATCATCCCAGATCCAGAATTAAATCTGATAAACCACAGTGGCACTTACTTGAACACCTTGGCTTTATTTACCTGAGAAGAAGTCTTCATTGAACATACAGGGCAGAATTTAGAAGAGTTGTTTTTTTTTTTTTTTAAAAAAGACGGGTTTTGTTTTCTCTGTGATTATTCATGGAGTGTGAATATTATAATTTTTCTAGGTCAGACGTCCTATGTTGATGAAAAATATAAATATATAGAAGTGGTAATAATTCATGGTAATGAGGTATATATTGATTTAGACACTTTCTTCAATTGGAAGCATTCAGCAAGAGAGACTGCAGATTTGGTTTTACCCATTCTGCACACCAGAATCTTGCCTACAACCAACAGGCAGAGACACATAACACATGGAGGAAGCATTTCATTCAGAACTTCGTGAAGTCAACCTAGATATTTATTGAGAATCATAAATGTACATATTATAAGGTTAAAGCATGATTATATATAATAATTATAACATTAACATTTAATAAAAATTTATGCACCACACACTATTCTAAGTGGTTTCTCCTTATTAACACATTTAATCTTCACAATACGCCTATGAAAAAAGATTATCCCCATTGTCAGATGAGTAGAAATGAGTCAGAGAAAATAAACTTGTATAAGAACATCCAGTTTGTAAGTGGGATTACTGACATTATAAAACCTGTGCTCTTAACTACTATACTTTAAATTGTGTAGAGCATTGTAATTATTTAATTTCCAATATTAAATTCCATTTTTTCTGTCTGAGAATTGATTAATATTTTTAGCTACGTGTCTTCATTTTGATCTTGTTTTGGTTTACTCTAATTCTGTTGATAAGTCCTATTCTGGAACTGTCA